ATTTGAATTCTTAGACTTTGTATTAACGATCAACTTAGATGCTGGATAGCGTATAAACGAATTGTTTGATTTTCGTCAGTCATGTCGTTGACAATAGTGCAAGAAGGACGTAACTTATTGATCCAACGAACTTATAATTAAGCCTTTGACTGCCGATAGAAAACTGTTGAAGGCAAATCCTCCGCTAATGTAGGTCACCGGTGACCTACACGGTTGACTTTGACTTTGACTTTGCTAGTGTAAAAAATGCAGAATCACCTCAATTTTCTCAACTACATTTTTACTACAATTTATTTAATTTAAGTGTTAAGTAAAATCGCGGGTTACTCACGTGAATATACTGAGAAAAGCTCTACTAGTTTCGATCCACAGAAGGGTTCTTTCTCATGAGCAGCGTGCGCGGTCGCGGCGACGTCGCGCAGCTCATATGTATCCATGTCTCACGATAGTTATTATAAAAACATAATTTAGGTCTGCTTTTAAAAATCCCTTCGACTTAAAACATTCGTCATATCCAATTAAAGTTCATTACAATATAGCTTCAACATTTGGTTAGACTACACGTAATCTTCATAAAATGAGAAATAGGTCTAGATACGAACACCTAACAGCATAACAGTCATGAAGGCACTTAATACCTTATCCAATTTTAAGCAAATCTCTTATTGTCTCGGGTCGTAAAGATGAACACTTTAAATTCATGAGCGAACTTTACTCTTAGAGCGTCTCGCGTTCCGGACATTGTTGGGGGGTCAAAGGGGTAACACTTTAACGGTTAAGGGTATTAAAATACCTCGCAAAATTACAGGCAAAATAAACTACGGTTGAGGATTAATGGCCATATAAAATCGGGCATAAACCTGAAAGATTTAGATTTAGATTTTGCAGAAATAAGTACTAAAGTCTTTCCATATACCTATTTTTTTAAATTAAGTTCCCCTACACTGGGATTTTCTCCTGTCTCGTGGGTGCGTTTACAAAAACATACAAGTTCACATACACATCGCACCCAGACCCAGAACGACAATATGTGGATCACACAAACAGTTGCTCCGTGCGGGAATCGAACAACTTAAGCACTAATTAAAAATAGGCATAGCTTTTAAAAGGAAATGCAACATACGCTGACGCACCAATATGGTACTCTTGTAAGGTTAAGTACTCTTGCACTTTGGTAAGGTTAGGTTAGGCACTTTTGAAACGTCAAAAATTGATTTACCACCCGTCTGTCTATTAATGAAGCTAGGCGTTCCAAAGTGTAGTTTCGAATGGAGATGAATAAGCAAAAAACTCAATTTCTACTCTTTTATAAAAAAAAAAATGTGTAAGGCATGTAGAATGTAGACTAAAATTATCCTTTAAAAACAGATAATCCTTCTCGGCTAACAAACTAGCAATATTTTTCTAGAATATCAAGGTAAGTACAACAGCCTCCCCGCATACTCCATCATATGAAAACAGAGCTCTCACATCGAAACAATTTGGCCCGTATCTACGCACATCCCTATGACAAATCGATGCTCGCCGCTCGCGTTAATGAATCGAGAACTCGCTGATTAATGGTGTCACTACATCCTTATCGCGCCCAATGTTAGTGTTGCGCCTCCTTAATGGGATCACCCGGGCGTTAGTCGAGTAGAAAAATGAGCTATCGATTAGCTATTCGTATCCTTTATTGTTCAATTTAAATTGGGTGCTAGGTTAGGTTGGTATCACTGGTAGAGAGGGAGCGGATTAGAATTTAAAATTAATATTATTGAAGATTTTATTTAATCAATCGTTTTATTTCTGTTGCGTAATTCTCAAATTACTTTAATTCACTGGTGCCACATAACCAGATATTATTCAGACATAAATAACTGCAATAATATCGATTTAATACTTATTATAAACCCGCTACGCTTGTATCAAAGTTGTATCCTAAGAAGTCCTCGCCTCTACGATTAGCGGGTGTAGTGCTCGCTTTTTGAATCGCGTTCCATTTTTCAAAGGGATGTCGTTTGAGTGATAACATTCAAGATGCCTTGACGGAACGTTTGAGTATTTGAATTTAGAACTAACTGTAATAAATTCTTCGAATGATTTTATGGCTGCATATAAAAATACTTTAAACAATGCCTAGTTTTTTTATTTGATTTAGAAAACGTAGGCGGAAAATTTATTTACTTATTTGAAATTGTTGTCAATTTTAACTTTTTAACGAAGCAATTCACCAGGTAACGTGTTTTAAACTGTCAAACACCAAGCGGTCACTGGTGACCGCGACCTATTGTTCTTTAATTGTGTCTATAAAACCGGTACTCGACGAGTTAATAAGTTGGTTTCAAATGAATCTTATTTCAGACTAGATGAATTGAACAGCGAGTTATCCAAAAAATACAAACAAAACTTTTAATCCTAAAAACCTGGTATAAAATTCAAGGAACATTTAAAACTACACTTAAAATGACAAAGACAAAACTACCATTGACAAAAAAAAAACTATAAAAAAAACATATATCACTAAGATTCAAATAAAGAATGCAATTTATCATTCGAATGTCCATATTGAGTTGTAGACGCGCCCCTCAAATAAGGGCGCCATTGCAAAGTGTGCAAATTATGACAGATGACGTCAGCACACCATTCAACAACGCACGAGTGCGTTTGTGTTTACCATTCGATTAGATCTGTCATTTGTATTGTATTTTTGTATTAGTAGGTATTTATTTATAAGAATCGTAAGTAAAAGAAACATTTTAAACATTTTAGATATTTTTTTATTAAATATTTGTGTCACTCCTATAGAAATTTATAAGAAAGATTGAACAAAGGCGAATGATTACTGAGTGTCGTGGTGGCCCGGAGGTTGAAGACACCTGCTTCTCATGCACGAGGGTGCAGGTTCGAAACTTACCAACGGCAAGTACCAATGTGACTTTTTCTGAGTTAAATGTACTTTCTAAGATTATTTAGACACCACTGACCAACGGTGAAGGAAAACATCGTGAGGAAACCTGGGCTCATAATTTCTAATTATAAGTTTGAAATCGCCAACCCGCATTGAGCAAGCGTGGTGATTATTGCTCTAACCTTCTCCATGTGAGAAGAGGCTTTGCTCAGCAGTGGGCATTTATAAGCTGTTGATGATGAATGATTACTATGCCAATTTAACTAGTTCCAAATAAGTCCTGTTTCTTCTGTAAATATGTAATAACAAAAAAAAAAAATCAATTTTATTAGAAGCCGAGTATCGAGTACGGAACTAAAATCACACATATTAATATTATAAATATAAAAGTTTCTTTATTTGGATGTTTGCCCGTCAATCACACTGAAAGTACTCAGTGGATTGTGATGAAATTGTGGTACACAGAAATAGTATGGGCTGACGTAGGTAATACGATACTTTTATCCCGATTAAATGCTCCTAAAAGATAAAACAGGAATCTTATTCTACGCAGACGAAGTCGCAGGCAACAGCTAGTTCTAAACACTTACACAATATAGATTCTGTAACGACTATCTCAAAAATAGAATTTAGTTTACAGCAGAAAAAAAACTTGTCATGATATACTATGGAAAAACTGGGCTGACATGTTCTTAAACGAAAAGTCCCTAAAACCACAGATAATAATAATAAAAAAATAAACTATGAAAAGATAGCGATACTAATAATGAACAGAACTTAAGCAATATAAAACACCGTTAACGAGTACCAGTTATTTCTATTACCTACTTGACTAAACTAATCTATTCAAACTCAGGTGCTACAAAATTATGCAAACTCATATATCATAGACTTACTATCACCCTAGACGTATTAGAGTTGCCAGTAAAGTAAAAACTTAAATATTGAGACATAAATCCAATTTGTAGGCAACACTTTGAGAAAAGAGGTCGTTTATAAAATTTATGGTTTGGTTAGGGATTAAATATTTGCTAAGATTTAAGTCTTTTTGTATGGTTTTAATGGCCACTAAACAATGTATACAATCTTTATATCATGGGAATTATTGTTAAGATTTACACAGATATTACATTTTTCTTTACTAAATTGTGACTAAATAAACATTTGTAGGCAAATGAATTATTGACTGCCTCGTTTGTCGAATGGCCGCAAATGCGACTAGTGGGCAAGGGGTCTCAATTCCCGGGTTGGGCAAAATATTACTGGTTTCTTTTTTAATCTTAGAAGTAGGATAGAGTCTGAAATTGTGCCTGGTCAATGGCAATACGCTCACCCCGTATTACATGGGACTCATAACATAAATAGTGAAAAGTAGGTGTTACATTGTACAGTGGTATTAAATGCCGTAATGCGCACCTTTGCCTATCCTTGCAGGGATAAAGGGCGTGATGTAATATTATGTATAAAAAAATTTCGCGGTTCGTTCTGATTTTTTTGAAAATATTCTATATTAAGATATCTCTCAGGTATTAAAAAGTCTGTAAATGACTGAACGTTATAGAAAAAACCACAGAAATTATTCAAATTGTTAAGAAATAGTCAAGAAAAAGTCATATTCATATCTCAACGTATAAAAAGAGCCGTAAAATTTAATATTCGCTCCATATTTAGAAGAGGCCTCCTCATTCACTGTCACTGTTCAAATATTGTCGTTTATGAACTAAAAGTGACATTTATACTGATATTGTCACCACAACAATATAGGAAACACACAATACATTCGAAATACCACCCACAAACAGATACTTAACCGACTAAATAGATCAAACGTTTCAATTAACAATAGCCCTTTGGTATAACTACAAAAACTATTACAATTTTACTTATACACCTATAAACTACGATTATATATCGTATGCAATGGAAATAGAGTCCCCAGAGTACGAAAATAACTGAATTTTGCTGGTTTCGATACAAAAACTTTTACAATTTTATTTTTACACCTATAAGCAGCAATTTTGTATCCTAATACATTGTAATAAAGATGTTTGTAAACGTAAATTGGTATGATTTCAGGTTTTTATGTAGGCGTCATTCATTATACATAATATTATGGCGTAAAGTTCTGTGTGAAGTTAATAAATATGTTTTTGAAAGAGATTATTATTGATGTATCGATCAATTTGTGATTGATCGGTATCCTAGGCGCTAGCAGGTGAAAGTAGCCGTTGTTACGAAGCTTTGTTATACCGCCTTACAGCTGTTGATGGAGTTCATTGTGGATAATTATTATCAAGCCCTTTATGACATAGGTCCATTTATAAAAGTTAAGCAAGACAATTTTGGATATCGGTATGAGTCTCGTGACAATAACCGCATTGTTTTCTTAGACTACCTCCTTTTAGTGAGAATTGGCAAGATATTTTCAATAATCTGAGAATCTAAAAATCCACTTGAAAAATCTAATATTTGACTATTGTGCTCTTGACCTAGGAGTCGTAACATAAATCTTATAGATCAAGGATTATGTCGTTGCTAAATTATAAGACTGTTAAAACAACAGACAGGATAGGATTTTCCTCATAAATATTCATTGAGTACATACAAGCAATATGTAGAATGCATGTGGTCATACAGGTGACATCACAGGTCCTGTATAATTCAGTCGAATTACTATACATTTAGTAATTAACATATTTTAATTACTTATCTACAATGTTGTAAACTGAGTTCGACGATTGTTCAAGCATTTCAGAGTGAAGACCAATTTCAAAGTCAGGCGAAACAATTTATTGTTCTTTTTTCAGAATTTCAATAACCGATAAATTTGTTGATAGATTTGTTTCCTGCGTCGCGTTCCGTGCTCCTCAAGGAGCCATCAGACCATCACAGATGGGGCCTAACAGGGCTGATGCCGAAAAGGAGCTGCGGAAGACTTAACGGGTTGCTGTGGCGCCGCGCCGGGTAGAAGGGCAGAAGTAGGAACGGGATGGTTTTTAGTCAGTAAGAGTCTGACACTCCCTCTCACCTCACCCGGGCGGGAAAAGTCATTGGATGATTTTTCCCCCCCTCAAAAAAAGGGATAGACTTTTGACATAATTATACTCCATTTAGGATATGTCAATATTTAATGTCCAGTAAAGCAAATATGCTTTGCAAAGCTTTTGTACATCACATTCCAAATGGCACACAAATAAGCCGTGAAAATCACAACGATACCCCACTAGACTTGGTACCCAGCCGGGGCTTCCTAGTTTAAATATAATTTCTATTCCTTAACCCTGTTTAACTGTTAACCAGTTGAGAAAACTGTTAATTGATTGCTTTTAAAAAGTTTGTTTCCAAGTAATTAAAGTAAATAAAGTGCACTTTCGCGCGTTTGATTCGGGGCCGACTCCAATTACAAATAGATAAACGAATTAATGAGCTTTCTTATTTGTCAGCCATTTTGTTTAGTCTTGTGACACGGTTTTTAAGATTTGTTAGGCAATGATGTTAGGTCGTACTGCCGGTAGTCTATGTCTTGAATAATAAATAAAAAATATTGAGTTGAAGATTGTTTTAATATATTGTTTTAAATAGAGTGTGTACATGTTTATTTATGTATTACTTACAAAATTATTTGCTGTTGTTCAAATCCAACATACGAGATGCTAAATTCTAAAAGCTGACTAATACTTAGTGAATTATTATTTAAGAAAAATACTTTTTTAACTTATCCTTAAAATGTTTGGCAGTTAAAAACAAGATAATTATAATCACCAAACCAATAAATGAAAAATGTGTCACAGTACGACTTTTAAAAATCTTAAAACGTTTAAAGACATTACACAACAAGATTACTAATTATTAATTAATTTACCGTTCGTCCAATAATTAACCAGGCATTAGCTTAAAACGTAATTAATCTTATTACCTCAATATAAACCACTGATAAGTAGTAAATCTCGTTCAAATGAGTTCGATTATCGGAACCATTTTGTATAATTTCCTGCTTCGTGTTATTAGTGGTACTTTAACGATAGATGGCGCTGATTGTACTATAATAATGTGGTGTTGCCACAATACCTAATAAGTTATTAAGTTTATTGTTAGAAGTTACTTTATTTTTAATGTTTTTTTATGTTCATCACTCCTGTAGTGAGCTTAAAGTTTGGAGCAGTTTGAACCTCATCTGTTACTTAGAATAGAGTAACCTGTTACCTAGAAAACCTGGAAGGCCAAGACCTAAAAAGCCCTACTATTACTGCATTAGATCAATTTAAAAAAGCAAGTTATCTTCGTATCCAGAATCTCCCTGAACGCGACGCAATTCGCTAACAGCTGGCAACACAAACCGTTGCGCAAGCGACGACAAGCGGTGACCATGCCGCCATGCCGCGTTAAAAGAAACATCGTTTGTTATTATAATCTATCAACAAAATGGATATTTTGATTCAACGTCTGGTCAGACGGGAGGATAAAATTGTTTTAAATATTATTGTTTTATTATTATCATTAACGGCCTATTATCTTTTATCTTTCAGCGGTTATGGAGTTCTGCTTTGAAATTGTAGTAGGAAGAAAGTTTGGATTAGAAGGAGATGATTTTTGTATGATATTGTTTGAAGTATTATCGTGTAGTTAGAAGAATAGCACATACACAAAACCATACAACAGCTGCAATTGTTTCGATACCAATACATGCAGATTTTCTTCCGTAAATTGCTGTACGACCATGATAATCTAATAGTAATTTTTAAGTGTGGGAGAGCTATGCTTCGGCACGAATGGGCCGGCTCGACCGGAGTTATACCACGGCCTCACAGAAAACAGACGTGATACAAGGTTTGCGTTGTGTTTCGTCGTGTGAGTGAGCTTACCGGACGCCCAATTACCCCCTTCCCTAGTCTCCCCAATCCCCGAATCCCCCACAATCCTAAAATTCCCAATTCCCAAAAGGCCGGTAATGCACTTGTAACGCCTCTGGGTTTTCGGGTGTCCATGGGCGACGCCGATTGCTTACCATCAGATGATCCGACTACCCGTTTACCGGCTTATCCCATAAAAAAATTATGGTGAATGGACGTAGAATTATTCCAGCTTTATGCAAACTATAAGAAGTAAGGAGAGTTTGCTATGTTACCGAGACGGCGCTGATAAACGCAGTCTTCAACTTCAATAATACCTATTAGTATCAGAAAATGTTCAATGAGGATGAAAACTATACTTACATGAGCGTACTGGAACCCGCAAGCATCCATACAGAGGTAGAGGCAGGTGGAGACCCCCTGGATCGTCAGGAGGCCGGCATTGTACGTCGCACGCTGAAGTATCGCTGTGGACAAACAATCAACATTGTTAATTATTGTTGTAGGAAGAAAATATAAAAAAAACATGCCCTATACATGGTAGTAAGGATGGCAAAAGAAATTAAAATTTAGTGGCTGAAATCGTAAGTGCGTTCAGCGTATCTATACGGAGATTGCTTTGCAGCAAGAAGAAAATATTACTGCTCAAAATATAAGCATCTTTAGCAAACCAAACTCATCTAAAATCTGAAATGATAAATACTCTACAATAACCAACCGTTTAACTAAACTGAAAATAAATTATTCCGAATCGTTTAAAAGACCCCTGATTGTTGGAGACCGCACCGTTTACTTGTCGAGTCTCCTTCACAATGATTTAAAATGATCTAAGTACTAAACGTTTCCTTATAATAAATATTACCAGCACTTACATTTACTATAAGGAAGCGTCCAGAAAAGCCTTCGCTCCTTAGACCGGCTCATTATGAAAAACCATAACTGTCTCTTCACACAATCGACTAAAAACAAATCTGTGCATCATTCACGTCTCTAAATGCAAGATAAAGTTAAATATAAAGCACGCTTCACACTCATTGACTCGACTAAAATGGCATTCTTAATAGTTTGCTATTTGCATGACAACACTATTCATGGGTCTAATGTTGCCATGAGTAAGAAATTTAACGCGTTTAGATGTTCTCCGTGAATATGGTTAGTTTAAATGTGGAAAATAAAAATATGTTAAGGTCAAGACTGACCAAAGGAATGTCTTTACGTAGTGTAAAGTGCATTCTGCCGGTTTAACTTCCAGTTGTGTAGAACTGTCTTTATGTAGACTAGCAATTGATTTGGGCAAAATTATATAAATTAACTGATCGCAATCCAGAATCTAGTTTTAAAACTAGTACTTATTTCTAATGTTCTTAAGGTCCATTCTTACTCCAAAAAAATTATCAGAACTGTATTATCTGAAGGGTACAACCAACAATTTTTAAAGGCTCGAGTAAATAGGTTGCTTATGGGATGACGTGCTCCATCGTAGACCGCATCATCGCTTACCACCAGGCGAGATAGTGGTCAAACGTCTGCCCATGAAATATAAAAAAAATTAGGGGGTTAAGTGACAAACGAACTATTTTCATTTATGCTTAATGTTAAATATCAATGACTCCAATATTTAACCGCATACAGCAGACAGTAACACCTTCAGTTCCGTTTCGAGGCAAACATTTACTTACAAAGAGTAATATTTGTCAATCATCGGTCGGTGTGTTTGTTCGTATGTCACTGTTAATCCCCGAAACTACTGAACCGGTTTCGATGTAAGTCGCTTTTTAAGTAAGTTTAACCACATCGTAAATCAGTGGTTTTTAATATGTGTGAAAGTTGTAAATAATTGTTAATTAGTATAAATATTTATGTGGTTGATATAATCATGTGTTGACGGTGAAATGTGAAATATTTGACGGCTACTAAAATCATGATTTAATACAACCATCATGGATTATATGCTGCTATAAATTCCCACTTTTCTACTCTGCATAATGCTACGGTATATACATGGATTGTGAAATAACTAATATTTGAAAAATACTTATCTTTATAGCAGAACCTTTTTTGTAAAATATATAATTAGTGGATTTTGAAATGAAGCTCAATGCATCGCACTAACGCCCAAATACTGAAAGGTACCCAATTTTAAGCCGTCATTTTACAAAGAATTTGTACTGACAAACATATACTTCAGCGCGACTTCAATTTGAATTTGTGTCAAACAAAATTGAATATTTAATGTCATATTCATTTAACATCATAAAATCTACCTTTCCCTTATCCCACAAATTGCGAACAGAGTTTGAATGCAACAGTTTTATAGCTAACACACCCAAGATGGCGACTTGACAATGCGTTATTAGTGCGCGCGCATGTGAAGATGTCTCTCTAATGGCCGCCCTCTGGCTACCGAGCTCCATTGTAAGTTTATTTACTATATTAGATTATATAAAGCGGTTATAAAACGATGTTTATTTCTGGAAATCTAAGCCTGGAATATTTTATTTTTGTTTAAGTTTTCAATGGATGTGAATAAATTGTAATTTTGACAGTAAATTCCATATTCTGGCATACACGACATCAACAGCCTTTGCTGAATGAACGAATCACCAATAGGGTAGATGACTAATTTTTATTTTAATGCCCGTCTGGTAGATTATTTTAAAACATTACACACATATTTTTTATTAATTTACAGAAACGAATACTTTCGACGATATATTGAATTGAAATGTCGCGTGACGTCACTTCTATGTACATTTTATAAGTAGAAATGACGTTTTAGCCCCCTCTCCTAAACTTTGATTCGTTATAAGTATCATTTTTATACATCAAAATAATAAAAAAACGTGTCTAATATTTTTTCATTATCTAACTGACGACGGATTAATTAGATTTTTAATTTTCATACCCTGTCATCATCCCTATTCTTGCTTGCTTGGCCACCGAGCTAGAGATAACTGTTTAAAAGGTTCAGGTTTATCATGAAGCGCTGTGTCAGTCTCTGTCTATTGAGCAGGAAAGGAGCCAAATATTCATATCAGATTATGAAACTAGTGTCTAAACAAAACCTAAATAAACAAGACCTAATCACCAATCCAATCTTTTCTAATTTACCTTCGCATTACCGACCTAAAAGCTAATAGACGTTTTCAATTAACGAGTAAACAATAGTGACGTTCGAATGGCTTAAACGGCAACAAATCTTGTAAGTCCGTTTAGTCTAGACATTTCAAAATAGAACAAAGCCAAACAGGAACTGTAGTAATTAACACAAACAGAAATAAACAAGAATTCATTTTGTAATAAAGATGCACTCGCTATCTCAACTTGGCAATCTCTGCATTGAAATTGTGTAGATAGTTCAGAAGTCTTACTAACAAATGTCTGATCTACATCCAAAAACTCTGAATCAATCTAAGTTTTTGTTCAAAACTCAACAGAAATAATGTCAGAAATTGAACTCAAAACAAAATCAGAGAATTTGATTTACATTTTATCATTATACACTAAATACACAGACAAAATGAGTAAACATAAGACGATCAAACAAATAAAAAAACAACAGAAAATATAAAAAAGTAATAAAAAATAAGGGGCCAATGCCGAAAGGGGAACTTAGCTTATTATATTAGATTTTTTATTAAGTTTTGTCATTGAGCATCCATCTCCTTAAGTAAGCATTTGAAGGTATTTTTTTTTCTTTTTTTTAAGGGTGGAAAATCATCGAATGACTGTTTCCGCCTGGGTGAGGCCGGAGGGAGTGTCAAACTCTTACTGACTAAAAACCACCCCGTTCCTACTCAATGCAATACGAGCCGGAGCCCCGACTGCCCAAGGTATAGGTGAATGAACTACAAAACCCAACATATTATAATAACACTACGTCAAAAGAATGAATAATTAATAATTTAGACTCATAAATTATGTCTAGCAGTTTACAATTCAATGAAAAAATTAAATTCTGCGGTTAACATACGTCACATCAGACCAGCTGTCATAACAATAGACAGACAGACAGCTGGTGCTCAGACATATTCAAAGGAAGACCTTGAAACTAAAATTGTATGGAAATAATTAGATTAAAGTGATTAAGAATTAAGCTGCTTATATTGGCTGGTAATTGAGAGGACTGTTTACTAAGAACGAGAAGCATTATTTTAACTAAAGATTGTTTTACAATATGAAGAGTCTTTACGTAGGAATGCTAAGCGAATGCTACCACGGCCTCACAGAAAACCAACGTAAGATTTTTATAAATTATTTTTTTATATTTGCAGTTTCGACGTTTGACCACTATCTCGCTTGGTGGTAAGCGATGATGCGGTCTACGATGAATCATGTCATCCCATAAGCAACCTATTCAATCGGGCCTTGAAGACACCCAGATTATACCCTTCAGGAGTCGTAGAGAACCCAACGGGTTACGGTTTTTAGTCAGTAAGAGTCTGACACTCCCTCCTGCCTCACCCAGGCGACCGCCGGGTGAGGCGGGGGAAAGGGCTTTATTTTACCCTACACACCAGGTGAGTTACCTTTCATCTACAAAGGCCTACAAAGCAAGTCTTGCACATAGTAGTACTTTTTAAAAACATTCATTTTGTTTAGACCAAGAGATAGCTACAGGGGATGTTTAATTTAATTGTTATTAACACGTTGATGTAAGCGAATGGAATATGTAAGTACTATCGACGTTTGTATCTTGTCGATAATGTATGGTAGGATGTGAATAGTATAATGTACAGGCCTGTGAATAGGATAATATCTTTGATAGAAACGTATTAGATGTGTATTAGCAGTCGTTTAGTTTAGCATAGGCCTGTCAGCGTCTCTTTTCTGATTCTTCTGTTTTATTTTTTAACTTAATGTTTTTCTTACTTCCACTGTCACACCTTTATTGTCTTTTTTATATTTTAATTATGCTGCATTGTGCCTGGTGCTTTCTTTAGAAGATAGGGCGATAGCATTATTTGTTCTCAATCCTAGCCTTGCTCTGTGGTGACATACGGAGCTGCGCACAACTTAACGGGTTGCCGGGGCTCCCACTCGAAGTAGGACTATCCTGCTTCCAATTGCAACTGAGAGGTGTTACGAACAGGGTGGTTTTTAGTCAGTAAGAGTCTGATAAAACGCGCTCTGATAAACTTGAACCTATTGTTGGTAGAATTTTTAGATTATTATATTAAACTGCGTCGTTGGCCGAGTGATCGCAAGTGCGACTGCTAGATAAGGGGTCTCGGGTTTGATTCCTCGGTCGGGCAAAATATTTCAGTAGTAGCACGGAGTCTGGAATTGTGGCCGATATATGGCAATAAGCTCACCCCCTATTATATGGGACTGATAACATAAACAGTGATAAATGGGTGTTATATGGTAGTGGCATTAAGTGCCGTAATGTGCACCTCTCCCTACTCCGTGATACCCCGGATAAAAGGCGTGATGTTATGTTTTTAAGCCTTGTTAGTAAGTAAGGTTTTTTTGTAGAACTATTTGTCGTTCTCATCTTAAAAGTAATATTTGTAAAATTAGCTTTGTGGCTTGAATATTTTATTTTTATCTACAGATTATTCAAAGCCACACTGGCGTTTTCTGTCATCGACTATAAACCCAGGTCAATCGTGATAACGCACAAATATTAGCTTAATATTCAAGATGGCAGTTATTATTTTATCTACATGCGTTTGTTTCTAGGATTTACATAATACGAAAATACGTCATGTCTTTTAATACCCGAAATAAATAAACAGATTTATACCCTTACAATATCCTTACTATATAATATTATAAATCGGAAAGTGAGTTTGTTTGTTTGTTCCGATTTCACGCCGTAACTACTGAACCGATTGCTTTGAAATTTTGCAGACGTAAAGTTAGTCTGGATTAAATAATAGGGTACTTTTTATCCCGGAAAAATGTGATATTCCCGAGGG